ACTCCCTTTCTATCAAAAGTTACAATACAGGATAAAATAAAAATATAAAATAAAAGGCACCCCTTCCCTACTATTCTGTTGTTGTTTCGGGAAGGTTTTACTCAAATTCATCCAGCTCATCCAGTCCAGGTCCCACTGTATACATGTTTCTACACCCAATGTCAACTCCAGATGGCTTCACTGACACGTTAATCATCTGTTTGGCTGCAGCATTGGCCAGCATTGATCTGATGAAAGGCACAATACAACAGAACAGCAAAAGAAACACATCAACAACAATGCCTATTATGATGCCCACTTTGGTTAACCATTGTCCCCAAGACCCAAAAAATGAATTAAACCAATCCCAATTATGCATGTCTGCTCCAGCGTTCTTGGTCACTTCCTCCCTCAGGTTTTTTAGTTTCCCCATTGCTTTGGTGAATGATCCATCTGGGGCTGTATTATTTGGAATATAAGTACAACAGTCAGAACCAGTGGCTGTAGCATATATCAAACTAAATGACTTGAGCACTCCTGAAGCATAATACATATCTTGATCCAGATGCCAAATTATAGCACAATTCCCATTGAATTTTCCCATGTCATATTTCCCTTCTGATTTGTTAAAACACTCATATTCCAGTGTGCAATCAATTGCATAGGCTACAGGAGTTTCTCTTTTCCTGATTTTAATTCTAATATCCATTCGTTGACACTCATCCCCCCACCCTGGCTGTTTATAGAATTGATGGAAATCTTTGTTCCCTAGCATAGTCAAACATTCTGCTGGGCAATAGGGATACACTTTTCCCGTGATCTTGTCACAGTACTGGGTGGGCAATAGGAATACATTCTTCCCGTGATATTTTCACAGTATCGGGAGTAGAATCTACCACAATGTAAATAATCATATTGGTTTGGCACTACTTCAAGTTTCTTAAGGGGAGATGGGGAACAAAGAACACATCTAGACATTCCTACTCCCTTTGCGGTATATTCTGCCCATTTAAACCAATCATTGTGATGAGCAGCATCTAATAGCCCTTCTTCTTGTAGGTATGATTCCATGTCATAAAATAGGGTATCATTCTCATCATTGTATGCCCACCTTGTTGACCTCTTTCTAACATGTTTGTGTTCATATATACCTGGTGTTTGGTCAGTCATATCAATGGAATAGTTCAGTGATGGTGGCTGGATCGAGTGTGAGGAATTCATCAGGTTGATATCTAGAGGGTCTTGGTTCAAGGGGCTCTGCAGGCTGCCCCACGTCTTGGGCAATCGCTGCATCAGATATATCAGTACTAGAATCAGGATCAGTCTCTCCCAGACTCTCCTGTTCAGTTTCAGAAGACAGTATTTCATCTTCAGGCAGTTCTCCTGCTTCAGCGTGCTCTGCTTCCCTAAAATGAGGTGCATCAACGTTACTACCTTCCCCTTCCTCAATATCATGGACTTCAGGGCTCTGTTCCCTTTCAGGAGGCTCTATTTGTTCATCTCCCTCTTCATCAATTCCTAGTTGCTCCTCTCGCCTTTTGGGTCTTAGTCTGGGCACTCTAGTACAATGATTTAAATGGTACCACGTTGTGCTTCCCTCTACCTGCACTGATGTTGGGCTTGCTCTTACAACAGTATATGGGCCTTCTCTTCTTGGCTCATTCCACCTTCGCCTAAATACCCTCAAATATACTTGATCTCCAGGTTGTTTAGCGCAAGGTGTCTCATCTTCCTCTCGTGGGCCTCTGCTTTGCTCCTGAGCATTAATGGCTTCATGTATAGCCGCTAATTGTTTCATGTATGCTCTCAATTCCATTTGCAATTGTTCAAGAGGCGGTCCTTCATAAGGGCCCCTCAAATATGGGACTGGCATTGGTCTGCCTGTCAACATTTCATGTGGTGTCAAGTTTGTTATTCTGTTGGTTTGCATACGGTAGCTCATTAATGCAAGAGGCAAAGCATCTACCCAATTCAACTTGGTATCAGCACAAATCTTATTCAATTTTGCTTTAAGAGTCCCGTTAACGCGTTCCACTATCCCTTGCGATTGTGGATGGTAAATGCAGCCAAGCCTTTGTTTTATTCTCAATTGTTGTATTACTGTCTTTACTGTTCTTTGAATAAAAGCTGATCCATTGTCTGAACTAATTTGGGATGGTATTCCAAATCTGGGAATTACTTCTCTTGTCAAGAATTTAATCACTGTTTGGGCTCCCTGATCTGCTGATGGAACTGCTTCCACCCATCTGCTGAATCTGTCAATTATTACCAACAAGTATCTCTTTCCTCTGGCAGTTCTTATCATGTCTGCATAATCCATTACTAAATGTTTAAATGGACCTTCTGGGACTGGTATATGGCCAATTGGAGCAGATGTCCCTTTTCTAACGTTATTTTGGGCACAAACTTCACATTCAGATAGATACTCATCCACCATCGCTTGTAAATAGGGCGACCAATATCCCTGCCGCTTTATCCTTCTAATCACTTCTCCCCTCGCGCAATGGTCAAAACCATGCGCGTCAGAGATTAGGATTGTAAGCAATAGTGTGGGAGCAATCATGTGTCCCTTATGAGAACGCCAAAGTCCATTTGCATCTCGAGTTGCTCCTCTGTGCTGCCATACACTAATCTCATATGGTGTAGCTTGTTGTTGCATTCGTGCAACATCAGCCAATTGGGGTTGAGGTTGAATTAAAACAGAAGGAGCCATTATTGCTGTTGTACAGCCAGAGGCTTGTTTAGCATATTGATCTGCTGCATTATTGCCCTTAATAACAAAATCATTGCCTTTTTTGTGTGCTTGACATTTGATGATGGCCAACT